TGCTAAATGGCTTGCTCTTAGCTCTAATCCCCAGGCAACTTTATTAACATACAAGCAAAATCACATTTCAGCACAAATAAAATATCACCATAGTTATACCATCTTATATTCTAGCTGAGGTCATTTTAAGTTTGACTAGAATTTGATCTCCTTGATGGAAAGTCCTATATATAATTATTCAACTCTATTCTAGAAACCTGAGGTCAAGATGCTCCAGCTAACTTATCTTTGTTCTGTTAAACTACCTACTTGTGCAAAATCTCTCCCTAAGATAAAGAAGTTTATTTTAGCTTCTGTTAAACTGCTTGCTTGCACAGCCCCCCTACATCTACTGAGTGAGATAGCCTCAGTGAGGCTGTGGTTTTTGTGAGATAGTGAGATGTGGTTTTTGCTTTTAAAAGGCACTTACCCTTAACACTTGGTGCTACACATGGGTTCCAAATACCTGAGTATATTCTTAGCAGGCTAGAACAGACTTTCAATTAGCTATAATCTGTGTCTAAGTAGTCCTCTCTGGTGGGCTCCCCATAATAGTGAACTGCTGTGGAATAATCCTTTTATATACTGTGAAGATGTTTTGCTCTCATTTATTTAATAAAGAATCAACTGGCCAATAGCTAGGCAGAAAGAGGTTAGGCAGGAGAGCCAGACTGATTGAACACTGGGGAGAAGGAGGATAGAGTCCACAACCAGACACAAAGGAAGCAGGAGATGAACATGCCATGCTGAAAAAAGGTACTGCCACATGGTAAGAGTGTAGATAAGAAATAAGGGTTAATTTAATTTGAAAGAGCTAGTTAGTAACAAACCTCAGCTCTTGGCTGATCATTTATAATTAATAATAAGTCTCTGTGTGGTTATTTGGGAGCTGGCTGGTGTGACAGAGAAAGTCCACCTACAAATGGTGTCCAACATGGGGCCACATAATCCACATAAAGGTTGAGAAAATTTTTTAAAAACGTTTGGAACAAAGAATCAAATGCGGCTTCCTAGTGACTGCCTGCTTTAAGGTAGGCTTGGTGCTAGCAGCAAACAGAGGCATGTCTCTTTTAAGAGGCCTTGCTACTGAGTACTTGTATAGGGTTTATGAGCACAGGGTGGCACACTACCTGATGGCTTGAGACTAGGTAAAAAGGCCTACAGCAGTGTGAAACCAAAAACTTCCCAGAGCTGGGGCAATAAATACAGCTCCTGCCAGTTCCTCCACCATGTGGCTAGGCTCTTAGGGTCATATGGATTTATCTCTGATCCAGGTTCATTTTAATGCAAGTAGGAAACAAAAGGACTTTATGACAACCTTGTAGAGCCTCAACTCTGACAGCTGATGGTACTTTACCACCTCGTTACACTTACATGTTTTCAGTGCTTTAGATAAAACAACTACAACTTAAGTACAACAGAGTATATAGAGACTCTAGAACTGATCCAGTACCATTATGATGATGCAGACATGTGAGACTTGCAGAGAGGAAAGGGTGCTGTGATAAAATACAATAACCAAAGCAACTTCAAGAAGAGAGATTACAGATTACAGTCCCTCATTGCAGGAAAGCCAAGGAGGCAGGAGTTTGAGACACCTGGCCACATCACATCCATAGTCAAAGGCAGAGAGAAATGAATGCACCCCTGACTCCTGCTGGCTGCTGATGCTTATGCTCAGCTAGCTTTTTTCATTCCTCCACAGTTCCTGGCCTAGCCCATGACATGGCGATACCTTCATTCTGAGTGGATCATCCTACCTCAATTAACAATCAAAGCAATTCCCCATAGATATGTGTGGTGATATTGTGTTCCCCAAAATATTGTGCACCCTAATAAACTTATCTGGGGTCAGAGAACAGAACAGCCCCTAGATATAGAGGCCAGGGTGGCACACATGCCTTTAATCCTAGCATTCCAGAGGCAGAAATCCATCTGGATCTCTGTGAGTTCAAGGCCACACTGGAAACAGCCAGGCATGGTTACTCACGCCTTTAATCCCAGGAAGTAATGGCAGAAAACAGAAAGGTATTTAAGGCATGAGGACAAGGAACTAGAGCCTGCTTAAGCTTGTAAGCTTTTAGCAACAGTTCAGCTGAGATTCATTTTGGATGAGGACTCAGAGGCTTCCAGTTTGAGAAAACAGGATCAGCTGAGGAATTGGCAAGGTGAGATGGCTGTGGCTTGTTCTGTTTCTCTGATCATTCAACATTCACCCCAATACCTGGCTCAGGTTTGTTTTTATTAATAAGACTCTTTAAGATTCGTGCTACAGATATGCCCACAGGCTAGCTTAGTATAGCTATTCCTCATTAAGATTCTCTTTGCATGTGATTTAAGATGTTGACAGTTAAAAATAACCAGCACAACCAGAAACCATAATTTTTTCCCCAGTAGAAACTCTTTGTATTGATTCCCTAAAGATCCAAGATAGACTTTGATGATCACTGGAACTACACAAATTAGCAATATGTCTGTATGTCTGTCCTCTTGCTCCAGCTGTTATCAGTCCTTCCTGCTGTACATTGGGTTAGCTTCCCTAAGCCCTTCTCACTGCTCATTAAGACATCTTTTCTGCCTAGACTAACTTCTGTATCCAAGAAACCAAGTCAAGTTAACAAACACAAACCACTTCCCTCTTTATATTTTTAAGCAGGTATATTTAAACTTTATTTTCCCACCCCAAGAGTCTTTAATAGAAAAATCAAGTATGTCTTGAAATCATATCACACAAATAAGTGTGTACTGATTTAGACCAGTTCGAAAAGGAGACTTTAAAAGATCCTTGGACAATTATCTAAGCATAAGATATCTATAAAGCAAATCAAATTGAGCTGCATTGGTCTAGAATTCTCTTCCAGTAGAATTAGGTGGCTTTATTTCCATAACTCACACAGCATCCCTCCCAAGGATTCAAAACTTTCTCTATTATCATGGTTATTGTTTTCTTGGTAATTCACTGTGAGTAGAAAAAGAGGATAATAGTGTTTGGTGGATATAAACAGTGGGAACACAAGAGTTAGTAAGAAGCAAGTGTCCTGTTTTCATCAAATTCTTTCTATCTTGTGTTTCCTAAGCATTGATTATGGTCTGAGTACAACTACCTGGAAGCCACAGATTCCAATATTAGTTGCACATTACCATGGCTCTTGCTGCACTACACAGATCTATGAATCTACTCTTCCTCCTCTTCCATTTCATACTGCTCAATACAGATTCAACCCATATCTCACACATGCAAACTTTTCTTTCCAGGCCCAGGAACTAAAGCAAGAAGAGGCAAATAGAGACAATCTGTGCTAAAATGGAGACACAGGGTGTTCCCACTTACTTATTAATATGTGAGGTTACAGATGTGTCCTGACCAGATTGTCTGACATTGTATAATAAACTGAAAATCTCATGGTATTCAAATGCTGGAAATTGATGTTAATTTGTCAAAAATATGTTGCAAGACAGGGAAAAAAGATCTGTGAATCATATCAACTCACAGGACAGCAGTTCTGGAGGATACATTTGTCCATGTTTTCCCATTTTGACTGAAAGAAAATTGGAGGAATAGTGAGCAGGTAGAGAGGGTTAGTATGGTATTTTGAATATAAGTATTCTCTTTTGTCTCTTTTAATGACCTCTGTCTATATACAGCAAATTTCTAGATTCTAGAATGGATGTGTTGAGCTTTTCCACACTTCCCCAAATCCCATGGACTTCACTTCAGTTCCATAGACTCTTTAAGACTTTGAATCACCCATAGTACTGGGAGTGGTCCTGAGTAGGAATCAGATTTGTCAGTCGAGGTAGGTCAGTTACTGACGGGGAAGGTCAAAAGTGCCTGTCTTTTGATGTAGAGTATTGCTGGGATGGGCGGAAATATTGCTGAAACACGACATTCAACTTTTATAAAAATCTTGGTGTTAAAATATCTCATGATTATATTTTTTTCTATGTGATAATTCTAATTTATAAAAATAACCCCAAGAGTGATATGCCATTAAGTATTTTAACACTAGCAATAAAGTAGTATGTAGGTTAAAATAAAATGTAAGCAGAGCGGGGGGTGGTGATGAAATGAACCAGTAAAAATTTTAAAGTAAATTAGTTATGATTTACCAGTATTGAAATTATTTTTAATTTTATTATGAAAATGTCTCAATCCTTTGCCTAAAATACAGCTTTTTATATAGTTGGCCGTTCTGAAGTCTTCTGAAATTTTATTGAAAAAAACCTCACATTTCTATTAAATTGGGAAACACTAATTATGAACATTTCCCTTTAAACAAACACAAACAAAACCCAACAAACAACAACAAAAACAAACAAGCCAAAAGTCCACAAACAACCTAATAGGATTGTAAAGATTGGTTTGTAAAGGTGGTAATTTAAATAAACAAAGTCAGAAAATGCATGTTTAAAATGTGTGTATAATTTTACTTTCGTTGATGGGGATAAAATATTTTCTGATAGGCAGTTGTTCTTCAGTTAACCTTTCTTATAGAGAAAGCTTCATCTTCTTTCCCTATCCCTACTGGCTTGTATGTGTGATAGGGAAACCACAGGCCAGGAACTCCTGCATGATTGCTATGGCTGACTGCCTGGCAAGATGAAAACATTTAAACAAACCTTTAGGAGAGCGAGAGTGCAACGGAAGGTGTCCTCTGGGCATGCACATGGTGCTTGAGATGCAAGGTGTCCCTACACCTATTCTGCTGGGTTCCCTAAAAGACACCAGTCTCAGGCTACCCTGGTGCTGCAGAGTATGGGGTTAACCGTGTATGAACAGACTTTAGCCTCAATCTACATGACAGAATATTTAACAGACTGAAAACGTTAATAGTGTATTTATTATTTAGGAATTTCATACTCAGGTGTGGTCCTGGTTAGTACCCTTAAGACTCTACTGAATAAAGTAGGATTACAAGAGCATACACCGGGCTTGCAGGCCTAGAAGCGGGAGCCCCCGCAGCAGCCTGAGAAGATCGCCCAGCTGTTGCTGAGAGACTGGCTGTCCGCGGAGAGAGGGAAGCCACCTGCAAATACGGACCCTGGCACTGGCAACCAGCTGCGGCGCCGCCTTGAGCATCCTCTGTAGCTTGCGCAGCAAAGCCAACTGCAAAAGGCAAGCGAATAAACGCAAGGCCAGGACCCCCGCAGCATTCCTCGAGCCCCTCGCCTTTGCAGCGGATGCTAGTGCAGGACTAGCACGGAGCTGACTGAGCCTCCGTAGGTGAGGGGCCACGTCCCCGCTGGCCCAGACCGGCGCGATCCGCATGATGCCACCCGCTGCCGGCGCCGCCACAGCTCCAGCCCCAGCACCGTGACTGCTCAACGCGGCGGTTACAGGTTGGTCACTGCCGCTGGCCCCAGAGGCTGCGGCGCAGCGAGCACAGAATCCTGCTCAGGAGGCCCGGGAGGCGCCCGGTTCGCCCTTCGCTGGGGCCTGGCCCGGGCGGGGGCTGGGGACCGGAGAGGCCGCCCACAGCTCAGCCTGGGGCGCGCAGGGTAGGGACCCTGGGAGCCACTGTGCACTCTCCGGCCCCGGGGCAAGCTGCTCCAGGGTCGGTCTTGGGAAGCCATGGGCCTCTGGATGGGGCCTTCCCAGCCTGGGCATCCAGCAGGTGCTGGGAGGTGGAAGAAGCAGGTGGCTGGGGGTGGGGCTGATGCGCATCATGACCATCATTGTGCTGTCCTTGTCTGCCTCTGGCCTTCACCAGGGTCAACCCACAACCTGGAAGAGGGTTCAGGGTTACCTCTGCTCCATTAGCTTTTGGGAAGGCCTTCCTGGCCTTGCCCCACTCAGTGATCCTGCAGACTGATGTTTGTTAAATTGCCCTATTTTATTAGCTGGCCTGGTTGAGCAACTGTCATTAGGGTGGCCCACACCAACCAGTAAAGTCTTGTCTTGCCAAAGCAACTCCATTTTGTCTTTGAATCTTTAAGAGCCCGGCTTGGAGGACCTGGCTGGAATTAGGAAGTGGGTCCAGTGGGCTAGTTGTTTCTCTGACTTAAATGTTGCTTTAAGACAACATAATGCTTCTGAACCTGGACCCTGTGTTTCTTATAGAAAAATAAATATTTTAGATTTGGGCCCACATTTTCAAAGACTATATTGTGAAGGATACGTGAACACACACACACACACACACACACACACACACACACACACACACACAACCACTCAACCTTAGGAAGATTGCACTCTGGACCCAGTTTCCCTGCATGGGAAATAAGAAGTAAGGCCCTTGTAGCTTTTGTTTCTGTAGTTGTTAGTCTTTCACATAGGATGAAAAAAATAACAGGTGGCTGTTTCTGTTTTTGTTTTTAAATTGATGGTTCCTCTTTTTATAGCTTTTGCTGTGACTTTGTGTTACCTGGGAGAGGAGCAGGGACTGTGGCAGTTTCTAAACAGCAGGAGTGGCTTTTTACATCCAGATTGTCCAAAAACCCAAATAAGAATCGTGGTTTCCCAAATCTCCACAAATTCAGAAATTTATTTCTGAATTGTTTGGTGTCCATTCTGTGCCATTCTATGTTGAACATTTCAGTCTCCTCTGACATAATTTTGACCCAGCCCTTGATAAAACTATATAAAGGAAAGAGGAAAACTCAAGCTTTGCCAAATAGCTAAAATGTGTGAAGGGCCATTGGGGATTAGAAGTAGAAGGGATTACCTGTCTGAGTAGTATGCTGTCATTGAAAACGATGGTGTTAGAAGTACTATAAAAATGAAACCATGACTTGTGATGGTTTCACAAACTATATTGTAACAATATAGTTACAGCTTTGGGTGTGACTTGCAAGGAAATTCAATAGGAAACATGTAGATTTGAAAGAAGAAAATCTGCTCATAATAGCATCATTTTCTCACAGCTCAGTGACTTGAAGGCTATATAGTATTTTCTTTTCTTTTCTTTATTCTTTTTTTTTTTGAGGATGGCAGTGTGTTCCAGTTGCTTTTTTCCCTCTTACCAGCACTAAGTGTGACTGTATGTGTCTGTCTGGAGGTGTACCTGTGGAAGAACATATTTATTTAATCATTCATCAATGGTGCTAAGATAATTTTAGACTTATATGCTTGCATAGGAAACTAGTCACATGTAGATCTCAAGTTGTAAGAAAAACTCCACATCTCCGCTTTAATATTGTAATGTAAGGAAGATATTGAACTAGGATGTGGGTATTCTTTGAGGAAAAGAGATGGACTCACTTCCTAACAATCTGTCAGGAAAATACTCATGCAGGTCATCACAAAGTGAGAGGCACTCCATTCTAGTTTGGGTCTGGAAACAATGCTCTGGAGCGTCAAGGTATTGTAAATTACTCTCCTCCCCAAATGGTAACAGTGTTTTAGAATTTGAAAGCCTGTCCTGTCATATAAGTCTTATCTGTGTCAAGGACTTTCCTGAGAAGCTTTGTGACTTCAAAACTTTTCCCTGTACAGACATTTTAATTTTTTAAAATATTTGTTATTTCCTAAAATATCTCTTGTAATTTTTGAGATTATAATTACATAATTTCTCCCTTCCTTTTCCTCCCTCCAATCCCTCCTATATACTCCTCCTTGCAATCTTTAAAATTCATGGCCCATTTTTCATCAATTGTTTATATACATATGAATACTCATATATACATATCTAACTATAATCTACTCAGTTTGTGTAATGTGACTTGTGTGTATGTCTTCAGACCTGACCACTTGGTATTGGATAATCAATTGGTGTGCTCTTCCCTATGGCAAACTATTTTTTCCCCGCTCTTAGCATTCCTCAGTTGCCTGTAGTTCTTTGTGTAGAGTTGAGGCCTTGTGCTTTCCCTTGTCTACATTAGCATGTTTATTGCTGTTGTCCTTGTTCAGCTTATGTTTAGGCAATGTGCTGGTGAAACTAAGTAGGTTTCTTATTTTAAATAATCAAGGGGGATAGAGACAGCTAAAGGATGAGGAAAAGAGATATGCATCTACCTTTTAAACAAGCTAATACAAATGATTACAATGTCCTTGTTCTTGGTAGTCTTGGTAAGTTCAGAATGTTACATAGCTGTGGCCATAACATTAATCAGTCTTTATGCTATTTTTTCTATGTACTATTTATTATAAACATTTGAAATGTTTCTGTACAGTTTGCTTAATTTAAAACTTTGTAACACTATATTGCACTATCCTCCCACAAACATAACCTTACTTGCTACACTGTTACATCTGTCATTAGATACTTGTGGCTTCTACTTTTTCACCACTGTAAAAAAATATATTGATAGGTCATCATGCTACATTAATCAATTTCTATCTTAAGCTTTTTTTTCTGAAAAACTCTCAACAATTATGTTCCTCAGATGAAGCAGCACACTTTACAGATGTATGAATATTTATTTAAATACACATGTAAAATTTAATTGCCTTTTAAAAAGATTTACTCTATAGTGATGTGTATTGCCTTCATGAATTCATGTGCCCCACATGTATGCCGGTGTTTGTGGAGGTCAGACAATATTAGATACCCTGAAACAGGAGTTAGAAAAGATAATGAGCCACCAAGTGGGTGTTGGGAACTGAACCCAGATCCACTGCAAGAACTGCAAGTGCTCTTAACTGAGTCGTCATTTCAACCCCATAAAATATAAATATAATATAAATATATTCAGATTATATTCCATGCTTTAGAAGTAGACCTACCACTTTTAAAGCATGTGTGAGTGACCTTCCGTCTTAATGAAAGAAGAAAAATTAATAATTTGACCTTATGACTAATTTAAAGACTTGTAAGAAATCCTTCTGAAAACCTAATAATAAAATTGAACTTCTGTAGTAAAACTAAAATTAAAAAATGATAAAAATTGAAAGTTGAAAAAAGTAAATAAATGCAATTATTTTTAGGCAAAATGTGGGGTGGGTTTTAGTTTAATTTTGTTTTGCTTTCTTTTTTTACTTAGACTTCAAATAAATGATGAAAGGAATTTTTAGTGAAAACTCTGCACCCACAAATTGAGAAAGAAGATGAACATAACTCCTGGACATCATAAACCAAAATAATTTTGTTTGAGTCCATAAAGATGTTGCAGTTTCAGCTCTCTAGGAGGGTTGCTCAAATACTAAGAAAGAGAAATTCCAGAATGATTTCCTAATGTTAGCATGGTGGTAGCTAACACTGGGCACTGGGTGTTGGTGAGACAAATGTTTCTCTTCTAAAGCAGTTTCCCCAGCAGGTCCCAGGGTAAGTGGAGCTAGACCCAAAGGAATATGTTCATCTGTCAGGGACTGAACCAGTGAGTCCAGAGGGGGAGCAGGTGCAGGGCTCCAGGGAGGTAGCAAAGGAGGATTAGAAATACAAAAGGCTCAAACTCTGTGGCCAAAGGATTCATTTATGGGAAGATCAAGAGGGAAAATTATATCCAATTATGCAAAGGAAAGAGATGAAAGGAAGACTTTGTCTGTAGAGAGGATGGCCTCTCTGGAAGGTGGCCAACAGAGACATACACACATGTTCTTCATGACCAAGAAAACAGCACAAATGGAACATAGCCATGTTTTAGAGTGAAATAAGATCATTTCCCCCTTTTAGATTAAAAAGTATCCGAATACACATATCAAAATATGCTATCATGTGCCAGGAAAGATAAATAAAGCAGTGCCAACATCTACATATAGCCTGGTGAAGACTGAATTTGAAAATGAGAAGGAAAATAGCTCATCAGCATTCTGGCCAAGTGTTTGCTTTTTTCAGTGACATGTGTACAAATGGACAATTCAGATTGAGTTGATATCCTCTCACACAAATTAGCAATAAACAATAAAATAACATCCTTTAAATAAATAAGTTGGAAAAATATTACAGGATAGTTCTCTTATAGGCTCAAAATGAAAAAAAAATGCATGCAAAGGCTACTAAAAACACTGAGGTTGAAGTATATAAATATCAGAAAAACAGTTAAATAAAGAGAATAATGACTTTAAGGCTGTCAGAGTTGTTATCTTCAGTACAATTCTGAGTAAAGACAGACACCATATATATATAATCTTATCATTATAGAATGCATGGCTAAAAGAATTGTTACAATGAATGGGAGAAGACATGGCTTGAAGATTTAGTATCTTCTCAGAGTTCTGGGGCCTAAAAGGACATTAGGAATAAACACTTCAGGTTAAGAATTAAAGAGAATGGAAAAATGAGAACTATACAGAGAAAGAGAAGATTAAAAACTGAAAATGAAAACATGAATGAGTTCATTGTAAAATACAAAGCTCTATAACAGATAAGAGCTATGCTATTTCTAGTCTCTAGGAAATATTAATATTTCTGTTGCATATATTTGTTGTGTGTGGCAGAAAGTTTCTTAAGGACAGTTTC